CCTCGATGGTGGCCGAGGTGCGGGGGTTACTGAAGGGAGGGTTAGTAGAGGGGCTGCTGCCACGGGGGTCTCAATGCTCGGGGCCTCTGGCCTTCGGGACGGCCCCTCTCCTGGCTGAATCCCATGACCCCGAACCACTCCGAGGAGTAGGAGCCCGTGTGCCCACCGCCCCTCTGTGCGGCAGGAAAGCCCAAACCCCCTGCTCCGGACCCTGCGGAAGCCGGCAGAACCGCAGAACCAGCCCTGTCTTGGGCACCGCCTTGGGGGACAGCTGGGCTCCCAGTGAGGGAGCCTATAGAGTGTGACACCTGACGCCCTGGGTACCTTGACCTGGTGCTGCCCACCAAGTGTTTCCAAGCCCAGGGTGGCTGCACAGTGGTACTGGCAGTTCAGCCAAGGCCGGTAGCGCCCCCTCCTTCCCTGCTCCAAGCCCAAGCGGAGTCCAGGGCCGGGGCAGCCGGGGGAGGCCCCACAGGGAGCCCAGGCAGAGGTCAAGGTGGCACTGGCTGGCAGGCTGTGTGCAGGACCCCCCGAGACCAGCGAGACAGGCTGGACCCCCAGCAGAGGCAGGACACGGGGCCTCCCCGCCTCGGTCCTAGGGCCCTTTGCTTGCTGGCCTGGGCTCTGCTTTCTTGAGCAGCAATGAAATGCGACATGAAAAATTTGTACAAGTTTGAGAAAACCCAGGGCCCTGGGGATGGGCCTCCTCCGTCGGCCACACGGGCAGTAGGTAGCTCTCAGGCAGGCACTGAGGAAGCGGGCGTTTCCCGCCGGCCTGCGCTGACTCACCACTTGGAATCTCTCTCTCTGCCGTGAAGGGTCAGAGGCCCCGGGAACACTATGTCCCGGACGGGAATCGGCCTGTCCTGAGGGACTGTGTGGGGACCTGGCCCCCACTGTCTATGGAGCTAAAATCCCAAACAGCAGCCTCAGGGCTCCTCCCCTGCTGAAGGGTTGCCCTGCAAATGGCTCTCCCTTGGGGCAGGGCACGGAGAACCAGGCCTGGGCACAGCCCGGCTCTGCAGGCCGCCTTTCTCTGTGGCTCACAGGTGGGCCTCTGGCAGCCAGGCTGTGGCCTTGGCCACACCTGCACCCCCAGCCCAGGAGGCTTTCTCATTCCGCTGGAGAGAGTCAGCCCTCAGGAGCAGTGATGGACAGAGCGCCCTTTCCCGAGGTGCCCACGGGAGGTGCCCAGCAGGAGCCTAACTCACCCCAGGGGGAAGACTTCGGAGGGGCCAAGGCGTATAGGTTTTGGCCCCACGTCCCAGACACAGGCAAACAGCCTCCTGCAGACCACCTGGTCCCACCACTGAATTAGAGTCGCCTGAAAGAGGGCTGACCTGCCCAGGGCCATGGGCAGAAGAGAAGAGAGCCCTCAGGTGGCCAGGCCCGCCTCTGAGCTTCACCAGCTCCATGGTGAACTCAAGGGTATGGCCTAAGGCCTGTTTTTCCATAAAAACCCGCTCAGGCTTAACACTGGCCTTGGGTGAGGAAGGGAGTGAATTCCCGCCCCTTCCTGGCAGCTGCCCCACCTGGTAACTGGCTGGATTAAGACAAGGTTTTTAAAGCAGCAAGTGGTCAGTAGACAATTAGGAGAACCGACAAGAGAGGACAAGGGCCAGCCCCAGAGCCCAGAACATTCAGACCAGGGGGCCAAAGAGAAGCTGCGGAGGCCGGGCTGCAGCCCCTGGGAAGGGTCCCAGGGAAGGCTCTCGGGGATGGTCTGGGAATTCCTGCTCAGCGCTGTGCCCGCCCGCCCTGGCCTAGCTGTTCCTCTGGGCAACCGGCCAGAGGTCTCTCCAGAACAGTCCTCTAGAACCGGGCCTGCTCTGTCACCCCAAGTCCTCGGCTTCCCGTCACTGGCCTTCGACATGGGATAGAGGTGTGAGTCCCTGCATCTCGGACAAGCCAGGCAGGCCTTGGGTCTTCCTACAGTGGCCCCGGGAAATCCCAGGGATGTGACTGTGGACATGTTCTTCCGTTAAGCAGGGGGAGGGTATGTGTGTAGGAAGGGAAGGGACAGTGGTTTCACAACATGGCCACTCCTGTCTGCTCAGCCTTACCTGGCCCCAGCAATGGCATGGAAGGGTCATCAGAGCTACTACCACAGTAATCATTACCATCCTCCAGCTCGCTGCTGACCGTGTTGCCGTTGGCAATGGCCTTTTGTTTGATTGTGAAGAAGGCCTGTATCTTCACATTGTACCTGGAAGGTAAGGCAGGAGGAGATCAGAGCTGCGGGAGAGACCTGGCAGGGGAGAGGGCTGGGAACCCCCCGCCCCTCACACCCCTGCGCACACAGTCAGGTGGCCCTGGACTGTCCCACGAGGGACCTGGGGAGCCAAAGCTTTGCAACTGTGTTGACAGCATTCCTAACAGGAACTGGAGAACAATGGGCAGTCTGGCGGCCCTGCTCCCACCCATGTGTGCGTGGGCTTCCTGGGGGCCTGAAAAACCTTCAGCCCAAGGAAATGCCGGATGCCTACTCATTGCGGGGCACAGGCCTGCCCGGAGCAAAGGAGCTCGGCTCAGCCTCAGGGACCGGCTCGAAGGAGGCGTGATAGGCCTGTCCTCTCTCCCACGGCTGAGTCTTTGGGTCTCCCCCGTGTCACTGACAGCAGCACCCCGGCCCACACCCAGGCTGCCCCCCTCGCTGAAAGGCACTCAGAGAGGGCATCTTTGAGGGGCAATTCTCCTGCAGTCTGACCGCTCATCCCCCATTTTTATAAAACATTTTGATTCACAGCCTCATAAAACTCAGTGTTGTTTTTTAACCAACTGCAGAGATATAAACAAGAAGATAAAACCTGAATATGGCTCACCTCATGGGCAGTTTTTTCTTTTCCTTTTTTTTTTAATGGGGAAAACCATATACAACATAAAATGTGCTACTTTAATTATTTTCCATTTTGAGGCACTCAATTCAGTGGCATTAATTACATTTACAATGGGAACTAGTCACCACTATTGCTATAACTTTTTCAGCACCCCAACAGAACTCCTCGCCCACTGACCCATTCGTGGCTAACCACCCCCTCCTCCGAGCACCTAGGAATCGCTAACTCGCTTTCTGACTCTATGAGTGTGACTCTCCTAAGAACCTCATGCAAGCGGCATCAGACACTATCTGTCCCTTGGTGACGGGCTCCTTTCACTCCGCATGTTTGCAAGGTCCACCCTCGGTGCAGCATCTGACAGAATCCCTCCTTTTTAACGGCCGGATAATACTCCTGGTAGGGAGTTCTGAGATGCTTCTGACCTGGGCAGCTCGCATGGGGCCACAATCCCGGACCCTGTGTCTGCATCCTCCACACTGTGAGTGGCGCCCCCTGCGGTTGCATGAGGCAGCGGCCCTGAGAAGCGCCATTTTACGAAGCTTAGAGCAGAAGCGAGGCTGCCTAGCTCTTTTGAAAAGAGTGGAATTGACTTACCAGATTTATATAGATAGCAAAAAAAAAAAAAAAGTGGTCACCCTGGGCATGGAGTGGGGTGGGAGAGAGGTCCTCGTTTACTACTTGTCTGGGAGTGGCTTTGTCTTCTACCCACCATCCCTGACTCCCCTGGCCTGGTGTGGACAGCACCCCAAAACAGTGTCTGCACATCTCCCTCCTGTTCCGGCCTCCCCAGTGGGGTGTCCCCCAGAGAACTGGGGCTGGCCAGAGGTTAGACGTGAATCAAGGCGCCAGACAGCCCAGAAGGAGAAGAGAAAGGGCACTTACTTCATGATCAGAATGTAAAACCCGTACAAGATGATGAGCACCAGGCCTTCCCACCTCAAAGAGAGAAAGGAGGCCGTGGTTAGAGCGAGAAAGACCCAAGCTGGAGGCTGGGCGTGACCGTGCAGAGGGTGAAGCGGGTGTCCTTCCCCGTGCCCAGCGCCTGGCCCAGCACCCGGGACCCAGGCATGCAGGTGTGTGCCCAGCCCGGCTGTCCCGCACACTAAAGCTGTCTGGGTGACAGAGAGAGAAGGCTGAGAGTGGGGTCCCCTCAACTCCAGGGGGCTGCAGGGCTCCGCTGGAGTCCCCCTGCTACCAGAACAAGGAGGGCCAGGGCCACCACATCCCAGGACTTCGGAGGGGAGAAGCCAGGAGTCACCCAGACTTGACACGAAGAGGCCCCATGATCACCCGAGATTCTGGCCATGGAGCAGAGAAGCTGTGGGTGCAGGCGGAAAGGGGCCCCGAGAGCTGCCTTAAGAGGGGGCACAGGACCTCCTGGGTGCACAGTAGGGCAGGGTCGTTCCGAGACACGCCAATACCGCTGTCTCGCATGTGCAGTGCCCAGCTCCGGGCACGGTGGGGTTTCTGTAGCTCTGACCACAAGCCTCCGAGGACCCTCACAGCTTTAGTGTGTCCGTCCATCTAAATGTGCCCGGCATGGGCTAGCATCGCTCCGGGCACGGTGGGGTTTCTGTAGCTCTGACCACAGCCTCCGAGGAGCCACACAGCTTTAGTGCGTCCGTCCATCTAAATGTGCCCGGCACGGGCTAGCATAGCTTTGGGAGCTCTTCCTTGGCTGACAGGAGCCCAAGGACCAGCAGAGCCACAAAGGGACTTGGAGGTGATCTGACCCCCACCCCAACTCCATCCACAGGTGGGGAAAAGGAGATCGGGGAGGTTCCTGGGTCACAGGGCAGGTTAGGGGCCAAGGGGGGCCAGCACCAGGCTTCCCTGGGCCCACAGCACGCAGCCCCTCACAACAGGCCTCCTGAATATACCCAGCAAATAGTCACACACAGGATGCAGATTCTGACTGTCATGCAGAAGACATTTTTACGGCTTATACGAATGTAAGATACAGTCACGCTCTAGAGAGTGCAAACAACAACCTTTTCTTTAAAGTTTGCGCTGTATGTATCTTAGTTAAGGAATCGTTCCCGCCCTCAAGGTCATGAAGGTGAGTCCCTATGTTTTATTCTATGTTATTTTAATGCTGCTTTTTACAGTGAGGACTTTCGCTCACCTGGAGTTTATCCTTCCATAAGGGGTGAGGGACAGAGCTGATGGTATCTTGTTCTGCATGGACTCCTGGTGGTCCCAGCAGCAGCTGAGACCCCCTCCCCAACTCACTGCCTTGTCACGCATGACACCTACCATATTTCCCAGCCCAGAAATGGGCCTACTACTGGGTTCTCGGTTCCATATTCCATACTGGCCTATGCGTCTCCCTGTGCAAAATACCGCACTGTTTGAATCATTTTAGCTTTATCCTGTATCTTGGTGTCTGGTAGGATGGGAATAGTAAGGGAAACCATGTTTGTCACTTTGAAAGGACAAATAAAGGCATGATTACTTAGACAGTGGTTCTCAACCTTCTGGCCCTTTAAATACAGTTCCTCATGTTGTGGTGACCCCAACCATAAAATTATTTTCGTTGCTACTTCATAACTGTAATGTTGCTACTGTTATGAATCGTAATGTAAATATCTGATATGCAGGATGGTCTTAGGCGACCCCTGTGAAAGGGTCGTTCGACCGCCAAAGGGGTCGCGACCCACAGGTTGAGAACCGCTGACTTAGAATCATACCCTTTTTATTTTTACCAAGTTCATAAGCCTGAGATGCTTCTGACCTGGGCAGCTTTTACTGTTTGTAAAAATAATTCTGAAGAAGATTCAATGAACCCAATAAGGACGCTAACAAAATAGGAGGCAAAACAAACTTTAAAAACTTACCACACAATTTCTTCATCATATATGAACTGGAAGGCAAAAGAAAGAAAGGGAGGGGGACATATTTACTAAAAAAACAACAGAAAAGCAAAAAACAAACACAGGCCTGTCAGCACCCAGGGCGGCCACACCTCTGCGTTTCCACAGGAAGCTGGACCCCTCTCTCCATTCTGGGCTCCCCGACTGCAGAAGGTGACCTGGCCTTAGGGGAAACCCAGGTCAGCAGGTGCAGCAACCTGCAGCCCCGCAGAGCTGGGGCCTCTCAGAGAAATGGCCGGCGCTTCGTTATGGTCCAAGTAGCGGCTGGGGCCAACCTGGCAGCGGCCGGCCCTCACTAACAGAACAGAGCTGCTGCAATCACGAATCTTCAAAACTGAAGCCATCCATCCATCCATCCATCCATCCATCCATCCATCCATCCTACCTGCCTACTTATCTGCCTGCTTATTTACTTACCTACCTATGGTGCCTGCATGTATAGGAGAGAAGGGGTGTTATTTTCTGAAAAATAAAGAGTAAACCCTTGGGAACTTCTGAGGGCATAAGACCCACTTGTACCGTTTGAAGGGAGGCAGGGGGCAAGGGTGGGGGACTCCATGGTTACCTAATCGGGCACTGACATTGCCCGGCAACCCCACCCTGAATCTTTGGCATGTGGTCCAGAGGAGGATGCTATTAGTTATCTATCACTGGAAGGGAGAGGGAGAGAGAGGAACATCAATGTGGGAGAGAAATAGTGACCATTGGCCTGTGAGCACCCCAGCCGAGCCCAATGGGGACAGGTAGGTGGAGGGGCTACACCCACCAATCGGATCCTGGAGACACAGAGGTTCCCACAGGGGACGCCAGCAGAGGCCAGGGGCTTCTGTCTGAACCTGGGCCCACCGCACCCCCCTCCCGGCTGTCATGTGGGCGGCACACACAGGTCTGCTTTGGGGTGCCGCTTCTGAGAGGGTCGTCCTGGCCGGGCATCGCCGGGAGGCTCCCCAAACTCAAGGCTCTGAGAAAGTGGCACTCAACCTGGGGAAATTTCGGGACACTCAGGGAGCTATTTTTAGATTTTACAACCCCACGGAGGGCCCCTGGCTTTCAGAGGCCTGGGACGCGGAAACGGTTCTCTTGGAGTTTCCTCACATTGGGCACAAGTGTTAAGCGTCCTGCTAAATATTCAGGTAAATGACAAAAACCAATAAAAAACGGGAGCCTAGAACAGCTGTTTTTTTTACATGGTTTAGGTAAATACTTAATTTTCTAGTGAGGTAACTGTCATGCCACGGGGGGGAGATTGTACTTGGCTCGTTTAGGATTTTATCGGGAGTCGTTCATAATTTTGGGAAATGACATCATTGATGTCAGCACCACTCAGGGGTTTAAGGGCCAACCCAGCACACGGGCCTAGGTCTGAGCTGACAGCTGTCAGGCTGCTGTCCATGGGGGGGGGGGGGG